TTCCATTTTAGCATATTTTTTATTGACCTGGTCACTCGGTGTAGATTTATCTATAATACCCGAATAAAAGTCATAGTAGAGGTCCATTTATCTCTTACTTCACATCATCACCAATCTTTCACAACCGATGACCCTTGTTTAATATATATTACAGCAATAACTGTCTTTTTAGCTGTCAAAATAAATTGGGGTGGGCGGGGATGAGAATCTAGGAATATTTTTATTGTGCAGGTCCTAAAATATAGGGAGAATTACTTGACTAACTATGTTACAGAAAACAAGACAACCTGATTGCACCATTTTCACACTTCTAAATATCTCTCAGATCTAGATTTTATGTCTTTTTTAAAAAATTAAATACGTATTGTATTGCATGACTTTAGAAAGACATGATTTATTTTAAAAATGTCTTATGTGGCGCATTGGATATTTGTGAGATCTAGACTGTCTCTACACCCTAGATGCAACATTTAGGCAATTTTGGTCTAATAAGGCTTGCAGTTACTTTGGAATGGACTAATCTAAAAACTTCAAACTGCCTGGTAGTCATATAATCATCCAGAAAATGTCATTAAAATCTCAAAAATATTTATCATATTTCTATTGTAGGTTTTGATGTGATCTTTTTTTTTTCTTTTAGGTGCGAAAGTCCAGGGTGAAGCCGATGTTGAAGGCTGATGATGTTCCTCAGCAGCCTGAGAAGGTGGCAGTGCTGCCTCTTCCTGAGCCTCTACAGGAGCTGCCTGTGGAGAGGCTAAGGCAGGCTGAAGAGGTGACCGAGTCATCTCCTCAACCTGTGATGGCCAATCCAGAGGTAGAGCTTGTTCAGCTTGAGGAAGAGTGTCTGCCATCCCCTGAGCCTGTCATAGCCCTTCCTTGGCCAGAATTTGACCAGACTGTGGAGATGGCGCTGCCATCGCCTCAGCCTGCTCAGGTTCTAGTTGAGGAGGAGGCTGGACAGACTGAGGAGGTGGAACTGCCGTCTCCTCAGGTTGTTGTGGGTCATCCTCGGCTTTCTAGCATTGGGTCACCAGTGGCAGAGATCCCTCCTGAGCAGCCATCACCTGTGAGGCAGCCATCACCTATGAGGGACCCTCTGAGGCGAGGCTTTGCAGCGTTAGGAGAAGGGGTGGTGTGGCATTTGTTTAGGAATGTGGAGGCCACTTTAGTAGGTGGTATTATTTTCCCTATTTTCTCTTCTCTAATTTAAATCCCCCCTTTTCTATAAGTTTCTTGTGAATATAAAACTAAAGTTTAAATAGGATTAATTTATCTCTAAATTTCCTAAATTTTGTTACTATAAATGTAAACATTCATCCCCTTTCAGTTCAATTTCTAAAGGATACAACTTGAATAAAGCTTTATTACTTAATATATTGTAATTTGCAACTAGGAATCTCAGTACACATAATAATTAAGGAATAAGTTAATCTGAATTTTGTAAATAACATAAATATAAACACTTTTTACAATTTTCTTTTGTTAAAAACCATATTAAGTAGAGTTTAAATAAGTTAAATAAATTTGTCCTTATTTTCTCATGGATACTTCGTCTAAATATCTCAATGCAAGCACACACCGTTATTTAGACGTTGTTATTCAAGAGAGTAATTAAGAGTAAATATTAATTTAGTATATCATTAGGGCCGAGGGCTTCATTTCTCTCTAAACTTTAATTTGAATCAAATCTAAAACTTAAGTAAAAATATAAACAAATCTAAAAGTAAAAATAAAATAAAATAAACAAAAAATAAAGCTTAAAATAAAATTAACATTAAACGAGAGATTAATGAACTTATGAATTTTCCTAAATTACAATAACTTGTGATTAAGTTTAAATTTTTCTGCAACTAAAAATTCAACTGTTCGAGTTACTAGCATTAAATTAAACTTTCAATTACTTAAGCAAAAATATTTAAATGATAAGCTTGATTTTCACAAAAAACTATAGTAACTAGTGATTAGTTTGAAATTTTCCTGTAAATTAAGATATTAAATAAAATGATATAAACTTATATATTCATTTCAAGACTAAGTGTCCCCTTTTTCTTGTTTTAATTGATAAATAGGTACATTAAATTTCCATTAATTTAAATTTCTTAAATAGTAATTTAAAAATAATGTAATTAAAAATATTTAAATTTTCTTAAAAGATAAAAGTAAATATTGAAGCTTATATTCATTTAAATGTTAAATAGTTGATAAATAGGGTTTATTTCCCATTAATTTCAATATTTCAGAGGGTAAACATAAAGTTATTAATAATTAAAATTATTTAAATTTTCTTAAAAGATAAAAGTAAATATTGAAGCTTATATTCATTTCAAGACGAAGTCTCCCCTCTTTCTTGTTAAATAGTTGATAAATAGGGTTTATTTCCCATTAATTTCAATATTTCAGAGGGTAAACATAAAGTTATTAATAATTAAAATTATTTAAATTTGCTTGAAAGATAAAAGTAAATATCAAAGCTTATATTGATTTTAAGATTAAGCCCCCCCCCCCTTTCTTATTTTCATTAATAAATAGGGTTAAATTTCCATTAATTAAAATTTTTCAGATGGTAAAGTTATTAAAATTATTCAAATCTTCTTAAAAGTTAAATTAAAATTCTTTAAATATTATAAAGAGGTAAAATCTGTTCTCATTTTAAAGAAAGGTTCTTTTCTATTTTCATTACTTCCTGTGTGTGCATGATGGGTTCAGTTTTTTTGTGTGGACGTTTTGTAATTTGTGTTATTTTGTACTGTATATTCATTTTATGTATATCCCCTGTTAATCTAAGTATTTTGTTGGTTTATTAAATAGGACTTGTGATCTTGTAATTGTGAAAATTAGATTAAAATTTCATATTTCTTAAATGCATGGGGTATTCTGATTTTTCCTCTCCTTATTTCAGTTCCTTAAATTTTTAAATTTGATATCTATAATTAATTAAGATAAAAATAAGGCCCCTTTCCTCTATCGCGAATTTCTCATGAAGGCTAGTGGCTAAATATCTCAACTCATGCACACACCGTTATTTAGCCACATGCATTCGTGAGAGTAATTAAAATCTTAGAATTATGAATTATCTAAATCTAATTTCTAATTTTTACTCAATTTAGTTTCTTCATTTTATTTTCCATATATAATTTATAGCTTATAAAGTTTTCTTACCCCCAAGGTTCAGTTCACATTTGAAGCTTATTTTGTTTAACTGAGATTATTTCATAAATTAATTATTTTTGTAAGATTTAAGTAATTATAAGTATTTTGTCATTGTTTAAATATAAACAGGTATCAGTTTCCCTCTCTTTACTGTTATCTGTAATTTAAGTAACGCTCATTAAAAGGTTCTTTTTTCTTCTTTGTGTAAACAATTAAGTCTAAGACATCAATAATAAATTTCAGAAAATAAATTTCATAATTAAATTTCCCTCATAAAATCTTTTGATTAGGAGTAAGATGAATAGTGTAAAAATTAAATAAATTGAAATGTTAATGATTGCAGGTGGGGTCCCATTTCTTTTCACTTTTGATTTAATTGTGGTTGATGTATTTTGTACTGAGTTATGATTATTTATGTAAAGATTGTCGCTGATAATTGATAGCTATAGACCATCAACATGCGCTTACCGATTCAAATTTTTGGTTAGGATTTAATTTTATGAATTCCATCGCAGAGAAAATGAAATTTAGTGTCCTTACTTTGCATAATGAATACTTCTTTACGCGTTGTTTTGTTCCTGTTTTCCCAAAATAAAATGGACACAATTCGTATGTACTTTCAATTTGCTCACAGCATCGCGCTCGCTCGCCATGAATTTTCCACGAATTCTGATGCTTCGTATTATTGTTCACTTTAAATCTACTGATTATAAGCGATGATCAATTCAGAAAATTTCCATATTGTTCAACACTTGTATTTATATGCATTGATGTGTAACATTATGATCACTATGTCTGTATGTGTCAGTCTGAGTCCATACCAATCCTTCATTTGATGCATTCCTTTGCTTATGCATATATGAATAGTATTTTCATGCTTTAGTGACTTTGGTTAATGAACTTAAATTTTGATTTATCCTCAGTTTCTCACAAGCAATGATTAAACCAAATTTGTACTTGATGCTTCCTCTGATGCTGTATCTGTACATGTCTTGATTTATTGACTCAGATTATTTTCATTATTTAGATTAGTTACAAACTGATCTAGTTCTTTATCGTGTATCTTATAGGATGTTGACTCTGATGCTGTTATCTGTATCCGATGCCTAGGATTTCTTGATTTATTTCTTGACTTGCTCAGAGCTCAGATTATTTTCATTATTTAGATTAGTTACAAACTGATCTAGTTCTTTATCGTGTATCTTAGGATGCTGACTCTGATGCTTATGTTGGATGCTGTATATGCCCATTATTTCTTGTTTTTCTGGCTCAGAGCTCAGATTATTTTCATTATTTAGATTGGTTCCAAACTGATCTAGTTCTTTATCGTGTATCTTAGGATGCTGACTCTGATGCTTACTTTGGATGCTGTATATGACCTACATTTCTTGCTTTACTGGCTCAGAGCTCAGATTATTTTCATTATTTAGATTGGTTCCAAACTGATCTAGTTCTTTATCGTGTATCTTAGGATGTTGACTCTGATGCTTAAGTTGGATGCTGCACCTGACCTACATTTTACACTTGTACAGTGTATTGCCTATCCCTGGCACAGTCTCCTGGTCTGCTCTCATGCTACCTCTTACAATGTTGCATCTGCTGCATAATGCTACATTTAACCTACATTTAGGTGTTATCAGGAGAAAGATAAGATTTAGGTGCTTTTTTTTTCTTTTAACATAAAAAGAATTCTCTATACATTGTTTGAATGTATGTACAATTTTTGTATTTTTCATCTCTGTCAAGTGCATTTTTTGTATTTTGCATGTATTTGTTTTGTGTTCAATGTCTAATTTTCAATGTTTATTGTTTTCAATATAATGTTTGAATTTCCCATCTGCACACACATTATGTTTTTTCCGTCCACCACAACCCTTGCCTCGCCTCAGCAGCTCTGTCCAGACGTAGATGTAAAGTGAGTGGTTTTGTTTTCAATATTTGGGGCCTCGCTATGATAATGATCAGTTTGTCCGTCTGTCTGATTTTGGTTACCAGAATATCTCCCATTGGCTTAATCTGGTTCAAACTGCAGCTGCCTGCAATGAACCAGTTTTCTAAGTAAAAGGTCAAAGGAAAAAGCACATCTGCATGTAATCCTTATCTGGAGCATATTTTCCTTCAATTTGGCCCTTTCTGGCTTATGTTTCACCTATATATAGTGCCAAGTGGTAAAGGATGTAAGTAACGAACAGCTTCAAGGTCAGAAGTCAAGGTCTTGTCATCTTTATCTTTGTGAGGATATTTCTCTCCCCTCTGCAGATATATTTAGCGCCAAGTGGTAAAGGATGTGTAGTAACGAACAGCATCTAGGTCAAAAGTCAAGGTCTTGTCATCTTCATATTATTGAGTGAGCATATTTTCTCCCCTCTGTGTAATTTTATATAGTGTCAAGTGGTAAAGGATGTGCAGTAACGAACAGCTTTAAGGTCAGAAGTCAAGGTCTTGTCATCTTTATCATTGTGAGCATATTTCTCTCCCCTCTGCAGATTTATTATATAGTGTCAAGTGGTAAAGGATGTACAGTAACGAACAGCTTCTAGGTCAGAAGTCAAGGTCTTGTCATCTTTATCATTGTGAGCATATTTCTCTCCCCTCTGCGGAGTTCTTGAACTAAAGGTCAGTAGTAAACAACACATGTTTACCTTATAAAATGTCCTAGGGTTTATGGTTGGATATATAATTTTTACCCAAAGGTTTTTTTTTTAAAACCAAGCCTTGGCTCTATTCAGCCTATATTTACTCAGTTACCCATAGAATTCCAATATATTTGTGTAAAGGTGTACTTCAGCTAGTACAAACCAAGTCTTTGGTCAGGTTTCAAGGTCATAGGAGAGGTGTGAAATCATTGTCATTATTTTGTGTTCCCTTTAGCTTCATCTCATACATCTTCCAGGATGCCTTTGGATTGAAGGTGCAAGTCAAATATCAAGGTCCTTTACAATGCCCTCTCATCCTGATGTCCTTTAGGTATAGCGAGGCCCTTTGAGATGGGCACCAACTCATTGATGTTTAGGTGTATATATAGCATCATGCTGTTGGGATTCATCTTATATGGGGAAAAATACAAAAAAAAAAAAAAAAAAATACAAAAATCAAAAAACCAAAAACAATTAGATATGCAGTTGAACTTTGGTATCTCGAACATTAATATCTTGAATATCATGGATAAGTTTAAGTGATTTGGAAGTCCTTTATAACCCCTATTCTTAAAGTATTGTACCCTGAATGCTAGTATTTGGAATCCCAACTTATTTTTTAAAAATTTCATTGTCCCTATGAGTTCGAGATTATGAGGTTTGGCAGTATAGATATTAATGTATATACATTTATTTAATCTTACAGATGCACGGACAAGCTTTATTTAATTTTACAGATGCAGGTACAAGCAGTATTTAATCATACAGATGCAGGGACAAGCAGTATAAAATCTTACGGACAAGCTTTATTTAATCTTACAGAAGCAGGGACAAGCAGTAAGAAATCTGACAGAAGCAGGGACAAGCAGTATTTAATCTAATGAACAAGCTTTATTTAATCTTACAGAAGCACTGGGAAAAGCAGTAAGAAGCAGTAAGAAATCTGACAGAAGCAGGGACAAGCAGTATTTAATCTAACAAACAAGCTTTATTTAATCTTACAGAAGCACTGGGAAAAGCAGTAAGAAATCTGACAGAAGCAGGGACAAGCAGTATTTAATCTAACAAACAAGCTTTATTTAATCTTACAGAAGCACTGGGAAAAGCAGTAAGAAATCTGACAGAAGCAGAGACAAGCAGTATTTAATCTAACAAACAAGTTTTATTTAATCTTACAGAAGCACTGGGAAAAGCAGTAAGAAATCTGACAGAAGCAGGGACAAGCAGTATTTAATCTAACGGACAAGCTTTATTTAATCTTACAGAAGCAGGGAAAAGCAGTAAGAAATCTTACAGAAGCAGGGACAAGCAGTATTTAATCTAACAAACAAGCTTTATTTAATCTTACAGAAGCAGGGGCAGGCAGTAAGAAATCTTACAGAAGCAGGGACAAGCAGTATTTAATCTAACGGACAAGCTTTATTTAATCTTACAGATGCAGGCACAAGCAGTAGCCAATCTTACAGAAGCAAGGACAAGCAGTTGCCAATCTTATAGATGCAGGGACAAGCTTTATTCAGTTTTTCAGAAGTAGGTACAAGCAGTAACCAAACTTACAGAAGCAGGGACAAGCAGTATTTAATCTAACAAACAAGCTTTATTTAATCTTACAGAAGCAGGGACAAGCAGTAAGAAATGTGACAGAAGCAGGGACAAGCAGTATTTGATCTAATGGACAAGCTTTATTTAATCTTACAGAAGCAGGGACAAGCAGTAGCCAAGAAATTACACAACACATCTTTACAGAATCTGAAAGAGACAAGCAACACCAATTTTACAGAAGCAGAGACAAGCAACACACAAATCTTACACAGGGACAAGCAGTAGCCAATCTTACAGACAGACAAGCAACACACAATCCTAAAGATACAGAGACAAGCAACACACCATCCATACAGAAGCAGAGACAAGCAACACACCATCCATACAGAAGCAGAGACAAGCAACACACAATCCTACAGAAGCAGAGACAAGCAACACACAATCCTACAGAAGCAGAGACAAGCAACACACAATCCTATACAGAAGCAGAGACAAGCAACACACAATCCTATACAGAAGCAGAGACAAGCAACACACAATCCTATACAGAAGCAGAGACAAGCAACACACAATCCTATACAGAAGCAGAGACAAGCAACACACAATCTCACAGAAGCAGAGACAAGCAACACACAATTCTACAGAAGCGGAGACAAGCAACACACAATCCTATACAGAAGCAGAGACAAGCAACACACAATTCTACAGAAGCAGAGACAAGCAACACACAATCCTACAGAAGCAGAGACAAGCAACACACAATCCTACAGAAGCAGAGACAAGCAACACACAATTCTACAGAAGCAGAGACAAGCAACACACAATCCTACAGAAGCAGAGACAAGCAACACACAATCCTACAGAGGCAGAGACAAGCAACACCAATCCTATACAGAAGCAGAGACAAGCAACACACAATCTCACAGAAGCAGAGACAAGCAACACACAATCCCACAGAAGCAGAGACAAGCAACACACAATCCTATACAGAAGCAGAGATGAGCAACACACAGTTCTACAGAAGCAGAGACAAGCAACACACAATCCTATACAGAAACAGAGACAAGCAACACACAATCCCACAGAAGCAGAGACAAGCAACACACAATCCTACAGAAGCAGAGACAAGCAACACACAATCCCACAGAAGCAGAGACAAGCAACACACAATCCTATACAGAAGCAGAGACAAGCAACACACAATCCTATACAGAAGCAGAAACAAGCAACACACAATCCTATACAGAAGCAAAAACAAGCAACACACAATCCTATGCTGAAGCAAAAACAAGCAACACACAATCCTATACAGAAACAGAGACAAGCAACACACAATCCCACAGAAACAGACAAGTAACACACCATCCACACAGAAGCAGAAACAAGCAACACACAATCCCACAGAAGAAGAGACAAGCAACACACAATCCTACAGAAGCAGAAACAACCAACACACAATCGTACAGAAGAAGAGACAAGCAACACACAATCCTACAGAAGCAGAGACAAGCAACACATAGTCTTACAGAAGCAAAGACAAGCAACACACAATCCTACAGAAGCAGAAATAAACAACACACAATCCTACAGGAGCAGACACATTAGCAGCACACAATCCTACAGAAGCAGAGACAAGCAACACATAATCCTACAGAAGCAGAGACAAGCAACACACAATCCTACTGAAGCAGAGGCAGGCAATACCCAATTCTGAGCAACACTCAATCCTACAGAAGCAGAGATGAGCAACACACAATCCTACAGAAGCAGAGACGAGCAACACACAATCCTACAGAAGCAGAGACAAGCAACACACAATCCTACAGAAGCAGAGACAAGCAACACACAATCCTACAGAAGCAGAGACAAGCAACACACAATCCTACAGATGCAGAGACAAGCAACACACAATTCTACAGAAGCAGAGATGAGCAACACCTAATTCTACAGATGCAGAGACCATCAACAAACAATTCTATTTAAGTAAAGACTTGGATTAAGATGTTAGCAAGAGTACAGAGAGCTGAAAAGAGTTAAGTTACATTCTTTACTCCATACACTCTGAGAGATTCAAGAACTTTCTCACTTGATTAAGTCTGATTTTACCTCTTGTTTAAACAGGTAGAGTAAGACTGGAAACCATGTTTAAGAGCAGATTGTCATGCTTCAACTAGAGTGCTAGGAGGAAGGATAAACAGTGGCCTGACCTAATGGTAAGGGTAAGACACAAAAATTCTCTTTTAATGTTCCCATTTTCTGAGATTCAGGGTAAATTGCTTTCTTGTCTATCCTTCTGTCTGTTTGTCTGCAGAAACTTGAACCTTGACTCTTACTTTGAAAAGTATGTGCCATGGCCTTTGCATTTGATTTGTATTTCTTGTGAGGAGCCCTTTTTAACGGTATCAATATCTCTGACCTGTTGGCCTGGAGTGGCTTATTTGAAAACTTTTTAAAATAATCTTGTCCATAATGTCTGAATGCTTGGTTCAATAGCTTCCACATTACACATTTGTTTTTCTTGTGCCAAAATCCCTTTCTCTAATGCCAAGCAAAACCTCATGCTTTTGACCTTTGAATTTGACATCCTTTAGAAAAACTGTAACTTTAGCCATAGTTTCTCAATGATTGTAGTTAGGGCTCTAATTTTCACATGTAAATTCCTTATGCTAAGTCCTTTCTTTAAGTTCCTGGATATTTTAGACCAGTCTTGACCTTGTAATTTGATTTTCTTTTGAAAAACTGAATTTTTAGTCATAATATGTGAACAGTTGGAGCAGGGCTTTCTTTTTTCACGTGTACTCCTTGTTAAGGTCTTTTCTTTGGGTACCAACATTTAAAAAATTTATCCTGTACTGGGTTTCTGTATTTGAAAAACAACCTGTTTATGTGTGGGATTTTATATTTCTCTTTTCATTCACTGAAATCTTCCTTTCTTTTATTAACCTTCATTTATTTTTTTAGAGTATTAAATTGTCCTCCATTACCAGTTTTACATTGGCCAGTTAGACAGAAAAAGAGTCCAGACCAGAAGGATCCACTGCATCAACCATCCATGTTTGGGTAATATACATTGTTTAGTTCTTGTTTATCTCTTCCGTAATTTATTGCACATTGTGTTTATAAGACAAAAGTTGCAGCAATATAATTATTTATTGATCTGTCTTAGCAGGAGGAGAGGTTGGATTGCCTATAGACACTGCAGTGATGAAGAGTTACCCTATAAACTGAGGCCTACCTTGAAAGACCTGGTAAGATTCTCTCTTTTCTTGTACCACAACCTCCTTATTATAACCACAGCTTGAAAAGTGAGGCTTATCATGTCTATCCTTTTTTTCTATCCATTACATATTGAGGAAGCTATCTCTTATTTGCAACTCCTCTAATAATTTCTGAATTAGTAAAATTCGGCAAGACTTTCAGAGAGTCTTGCTATACTGTATACAGGGAAATTTTCGCCCCCATTTTAAATTCAACCCTTTTGCCCTTCCTGACATAATCTGGGCAAAATTTAAAACATGGCGAGTTCAAAGAATACAGTATAATTAACAATTCTATGACTTGGCGAATTTAAAATAGTACAAATTTGTAAGTGTGAAAGACAGAAAATAACATGGGGCAAAAATAACCCTGTTTATAGTATGCACCTTTTATTGGTCACATAGGACACTGCCTTTCTTTCCTAATATTTGAAGTAACACATCTCTGATTCACAATGCTACTTATAACCAAAAATAAAATTTGAGACTTCCACAGAATCCTTATTATAAAGATTATTTTACATTTTGGTTGTGCAAATATTTGGGGGTTTCCATAGCAAAACATGGATTTGCCTCTGTACACATGTAAGAGGGGTTGCAATTTTATGATAGCTCCTTGTTCACTTTGCATTGTGTTCAAAATGATATACGCAGTTATGATAAGGCTGTCCGAAGGCTAAAAATGCCTTTAAAACATACATTTTATTTTGACCTAGATTTTAATTTTAATATGTAATCCTTGTTTGAAACTGCAGGACTCTTTTGACCCCTTGATTTTCTGTGTTAACAGATTAATAATTTGACAAGCCTTGAACCTACAAAAAAGACTTTATTACTTGTCAACATGATTCAGGGAAGCAAGGATCAACTGCATCCAACTGTAGAAGAAATGCAAACATTTACTCGTTTTTTCTTGTACAGACTCCATTTATTTTGTGCTTTCATACATAATATAGATATGACCCTCTTTTGATCTTAAATTTGCATTTTGCAGAACCATGCAGAGACAATACCCATACTAAAATTACAGGGTATCCACCATAACAACAGAGCTGAAATTGAGTGAGGCTATTCTACAGGTAACTGTATTGCAAAAGCTGCACTTCTTTTAGTATTTCAGTTGCATCACTCTTTTTCATCACTTGATTCAAAAAACATTTACTTACTACATTGTTCACAGGCAATTCTAGATCCTACAGTGTATGTTCAAGAGTCAGGCTTCTAATATTATAGAAGAGTTATGGGTATTGATTGACTGCAAGCCTCCTTCTAGCGTAGGGTAAGATACACTCACTTTGAGAAATTTCATAACTTCCATGAGATGAATTCTGATAATTATAACTTTTTGTTATGCCCCGCCATGAATATGGCCAGGGCATATAGTGAATTTGTCAAAATTTGTCCATTTTTTCCGTAAATTTCATCTCTTCTTCTTCCGTCACACTTTGCATTTATTTGATTAATGCTAAGTTTCAAGGAAACATCCAAGATATTTTCATCAAACTTCATATAAATAGATATTGATGAGAGCTATGCAACTGCATCAAATTTTTTTACATTGGATTGACCTTTCCTTTGAAAAACCTTCACTTTTGGGCTTAAATTATGAAAGCTCATTTGAACATACCATTCAATATGAGTGTTATCAAATTTCATGATGTTGATACAAACTTGCACTGATAATGCATCTAGGGATGAACATAGAAAGAATATATAGGAAAAATGAATGCTTCTTCTGAACCTACATTTTCCAGAAAATGTGACTCAGGTTAAAGTTTTTGGAGCAGGATTCAAGTTTTTCAAGGAATATATGCCCTACCCAAACCAAACTTGCATGGATGATGCATCTAGTTTTAAATATAACTTATATAGGAAAAATCTGGATTAAACATATTTTCTCCAAGTAACTATAAGCCCTGCCTGAACCAAACTTGTATGGATGATGCATCTAAAATGTGTAGATTTGCTTCGGAAGTTTTTCTAAATCAAGATTCCCGGGGCAAAGTAACTATAATCCCTGCTTGAACCAAAGTTTTACATATGAATATATAGGAAAAATCTTTAACACTTCTTCTTTGAACCACTTATACCTATATTTTCATTTGAATTTTATCAGGTAGTTTTGAACCAAACTTCATGGATGAACATCTAGGGATGGACACTACCAGACTTGCTTACATGCTGAATATATAGGAAAAATCTCCCAAAAAACTTAATCCACTGAACCATTTCATGGGATGCATCTCAGGGATGGACACTACAAGACTTGCTTCGGATGCAAGGGTGGAAGAAATGGCCAAAATTTTAGGATTTCTATATAGGAAAAAGTAAAAATTCTACAGAACAGGAAAGATGAAACTTGCATAGATGGATACTAAGTACTTGTTCAAACATGATGCTGGATCTGAGGGTGGGTCCAAAATTTCCTTCCCAAGTAACATAAGGAATATATACCAAACTTGAATTGAAGATGCAGCTCTTTTCATGTACACTACCAGCACAGAGCTGGATGACCTTTATTGGAATCATTCCCAGGTAACTGTAAGACAAAAGCCAAACTTCTTTCAAATGATGAATCAGTGGCATCACTCTTTTTCAGACTTGATTCAAAAAAACATTTACTTACCTACATTTTTATAGTGAACAGATTAATGACCTGAACTAAAGTGTATGTTCAAGATTTTATTGAACCAGAGTGCATCACTTGCCATCACAAAGAATGAGTATTGATTGACTGCAAGCCTCCTTCTAGTGCAGGGTGAAGCACTCACTTTGAGAAATTTCATAACTTCCATTAGATGAATTCTGATAATTATAACTTTTTGTTTTGTTAACATCTCTATACCTTGTGTTGACAGGAAAGAAGGTTAGGCTTGGCTTCTTACCAGGCTTTAGAGATGTCAATATGCTTGGACCAAAGAACCAAGAAGGAGGACAGACTGTATTTTTACCTAGAAGGGAAGGTAAGATGCAAACACTTATTTTTTTTAATTATTTTTTGACTCTCTGAAAGTTTGTTTTACTTTGCCATTTGACAAAGTCTTAGAACTAATGTTGTCAACAAGCACCTGGTTAACCAGTGACAAACACAATTTTCCAAGACATTCTCTGTTTAAAATTATAGTATCATTAGATGTTCTAAGACAAAAAAAACACCATACATTAACAGGAATTTGAACAGATATAAGTGATAAAAATCTCTGTGTTTTTTTTTAATAACTTTAACTTCATAAAAACAAAACTTTGACCTAGATGAGTTTGTTGGTTCAACATATATTAAAGCACAATGAAACGTTTTTTTTTTTAGAAATTAGATTTATTTGTTTTTTTTAAATATTTTACAAATGTAATTTAGACAGAATGGAGCCAGTGGTACCCAGAGAGTCCAAGTAAAGGTTGTATTTTGACCATATAAGCCAGACATAAGGTGAGCTGTATTTGTTCTTTTTTATGTGTTTTTTGTTCCCTTTCCTCTTGTCCACCCTTCCCATTCTTACTTACATTACTAACATAACAAACCTTTTTGCACTTTATTGTTTGTGTCTTTC